AAGTAGACTAATAATTCAGTCATCCAAACACATATATGCATCTTTATTAAAACAAAACAACAGCCGTAACAAACGTATTATAGCAGATGATCAACAAATACTTGGCAAATACGAAAATTTTCTCTGAATAAGAAACCTAGATTTAAAGATAACGCTACAAAAAGTGGTCACAGAGTCTTTTTTCTTCTTTTATTATTTGGTTGTGCTCCCTCTGGCCTTGATAACTGTTTGATATCGGCGTGGCATAGAGCGCACGAATGACTGAATGTAGGAAGGGGTGGTGAATTCATGATGTCAAACGTGGATGAGGGCTTCTTGCAGTCCTAAGGGGCTTTTCAGTTTCTTCTTTTTCACTTCCAGCATTTTATGTTAGGACTGAGACCTGTGGCATGGTGCAGAGCCATCCTGGAATGTGAACTGGTTAACTCCACAAAAGTGACCCCGAATTGTTGACTTTAACCGGGACTCGATAATATCGATGTATTTGTCGGTATTGACAGTGCTTTTCATAAAATGCAGGCGTCCCACACCCTGTCCAAAGATACATCCCTATATCATCTGATTCTGTGGATACTTCATAGTTGCATTCAAGCATGCTGGATGAAACTATTCTCCACATCGACGTCTTACAATGTGCTTCCCATCACACCCATGCAGGTTTAACTTTGTTTCGCCTGAAAATATCACTTTTCTCTTTGGCTTAGTCGAGCCTCATCTTGTTGGTGAACAGGGGTTTCTTTCTTGACCATCTTGTTCAAGACCGGCTGAACACAGGCGAGACTAGACAGTGTATCCAGTAACAGTGACCCCTAAAGTTTCCCGCTATGCTCTTTTTAGATCTGTGGGCCATGATAACATCACACGCACATTATAGGAGATAGGTTTCTAAATGGACTCCCAGTAAGAATATCTATTTATAGCCAAAAAACCACTTATGCAATACCAAGACAGCGTATAAATCTGCCTATGTAATAATTAGACAGTACTGCATCGTCCATGAAGCACGTTTGCACCAATATGCATTAGAGCTTCAAAACAGATGATGATTCCTAAGAAGAGGGTGGATACAATAAAAATTTTCCCCACTGTATATGTTCTGATCACAGAACCGAAACTTATAGTATAACATGAAACCATGTAGTTCTATAAATCCAAGATCGATTATAATTTATTAATATACTCAAATGTTCAGCTATATAATAGTAGGTGTAACAGGTAAATTATTTGATGATTGCTAAATCACCAATCATATTCTTATTCAGCTAAAAACTATTCATACTTTGCAATTATTAATAACATTCTTGAAACTAAAAAGAAAAGTTATTTGTTTGCTGCTAAGATGTTGCCCCTATTAGTATTACTATGGACATTTAGAGTTTTGTTGAAGAGGTTGAGAGTGGTTGTGTCCAAGGTCTCTAAACACTTCGAGAATTGGCATCTACCCCTAATAATACTACAGTGCATGACCTGAGTTGTCTTTTTTCTTGTCTGAATGAATTTCATAAATTATATGTTTGTAAGCCTCAGGAATATGTCTCTATTGCTGATGCTAATAAGATCTTGTTCTAGTCATTTTCTTAGACCTTGAAACCACTTTTTACATTAAACAGAACGCGGCCTTTCTCACAAAATGATATTATATTATATTGCTCTCCAAGGATTTATTTTACGCTGTTTGAATAACATTATTTGTTAAACTAAATACACCCAAGTCGTTTAAGCTCCACTTAATTTAACATTGTTTGGAATACTTCTTAAGACAGGGTGATTTTACTGCTGATGTTTATATTTGGCGAAATAGGGCTAACTTCAGTATTATATGCTCTTCTCATCAAAGAAATCTAATCTAGCTGTACAAATGGGTTTCTGCTTTGCTCCACTCAAATTCAAGTTTATGGTATTCACCATTTGAAAAATAAGCTTAAGTTATGATTGTTTTGGAGAATTTCACACCGAAAGAAAAAATATTATGTGAATATCGCTATTTAGGAACAGCTCTGGACTTTGGGATTGTGCCATCGAAGAAAACATTAATATGAAAAGTACAGGAAATCCCGTACATTGAGCAGCGTTCATACACCCTGACCGAGTAAACTGCCGGAATGGAATGAAGTGTAGACAGAGGCTCACAAGAGTGAACGTTTTAGGAGACTGACAACGCCAATCACCTATTTCTACAGCGGCATCCCACGTGCAATAGCACGACACCTCTGAACACAACAAAGGAAGGAACGCGCAGAAAAGCACAGGATTATAAACCACGATCAACTTCTGAGAAGATGATACTTGAATAGCTAATTGATAAAAAGAAGCATTGGGTCTACCATGTAGGTTATTTTTTAGATTGTTAGCTGACATACATACATAAAGTGGAAAATGCAAACTCCAGTTTTGCTGTAAGTTTAACATAGTAACAAAACAATAAGCTTAAGTCTTACTTCTTCAAATCATTAAAAAGTAGTAATTTATTTAGAAAAAATAAAATATCAATTAGTATATCGCCACATCTGTTTAAATAAATTGATTATGGCTAAAGGGTCGCCAACTCTTACTCTCTATTGAATATACTTCTTTGAATACACGACGCATTTACCATTGAACAAATTACAATTATTTTTTGATCTCAGGATTGACGGTCTCTGAGGACTTTGGAAACATTTCCTACAAACCTGAATTAAATAGCAGAGAAGCTTAATTTTGATAAAATTGAGACAGTGAGTAAACTGTGCTACTGTGTGCGTCTATGGATTGAGTTTGGAAATCTCAAACTAAGAAATTTTAGAACAGATTAACGTTGAAATACAACCTACTTACGTAAAATTAAAACCGAGTTGGAAGGATGAAAATAGTATCATAACAGATGATTAGCTCATGTAAACAATGTTACCTGGAGTGCAGAGCATGTATCCAATCTTAGAAGCTTCTGGAAACATTTTTACAAACAGTTGCTTGAAAATCACTGAAACGGAAAAATAATAATACTTTTATTTGTAGTAAAATGAATAGTTAAGCCTTTTGAATATATTTTATGTAAGAAGGCTTACTGATAATAATAAAACTACTTACTTTTCTCTTTACATAAATATAAATCGTCCGACTGATGCCTATATTACCTCAAGGAAGGCTTATTTCCATATGCAAAAATGTTTTGATGTTAAATAATTCAGAGTTAAGTTCTATGACATACTATTCTGGTAGTTTACGAAGCTTGAAAATGTATACGAACATTTCAAAATACTTTCAAACATTTTCCACAATTTTATTATTCCAACTTATTGCATATTAACATTTAACACATTTTAAAACACGTTTTTTGATGTTTCCCAAATTTCTAGTATGAACAAAATACGGCTTTTTTTACAGTTTTGTAACTAAGATAACTAGTAGGATTTCATCAGTTTGACTAGAAAGTAATTTTACTAAGTTAATTTTTCTTTTTTAACTATAAACAAAAGTTGATTTCTAAAATTTTTATATCTCAGTAAGATATACCGTCATGTCAGACAGTTTCTAGCTTATGGATCTCATAACAATACCCAAACGTATACATTTTAGAAAAAAGTAATGAAATGTATTGTACCCGATTCCCTAACATTTGTTCATAAACTTCAGTTCGTACTACTTGTGATACTGTTCATACAAGTTAAGATTTGGTATCTAATACAGTATTAGGATCTATGTTTCAAAGGCTTAGAATCCTTTCTAACAGAACTTTTTATAAATCTACTGGTTAGCTTATGTTTATAAACTAATTTTTTTGTTTTGTTTGAAGTTAAGCACAAAACTACACAATGGAATATCTGTGCTCTGCCCACCACAGGTATCGAAACCCGGTTTCTAGCGTTGTAAGTCCGCAGACATACCGCTATGCTACTGGGGGACAATGAAAGTATTTGGCAATCCTTCATTATTATTAGCCTAAAACTGATGAGAATTGTTTGTGTGAGAGTTTTTTTTTTATAACAAAGCCACATCTGCTGTGTCCACAGGCGGGAATTAAACCACTGATTGTAGCGTTGTAAATCCGAAGACTTACCGCTGTCCCACTGGGGGACTATATTTTTTAAACTTATGTTTATAAACTATATTTTTTTAAATGTTTATAACATGACAGACAGCTATAAGTTACTTGTATTCTGAAAAACCAGAACTTTTGGTTTGAATTATTAAAAGTCGCTGCTTATAAAAATTAATAGTAACTATAAAAATTCCTGTAAAAATATGAAATTTCTGAAACTCCTTTTTTATTTTTGTAATTGCAATTCTGTGCCGTGTATAATCAAATTTTATAATATTTTATCAAATTTTCACTACAGTTATACGAACAGTGCCTGTTTCGTTTCTTTGTTATTTATTGACAAAATAATAAGTATTTTGGACTTGGTTTACCAAAAGTCATTGCGTAGGTGAGAGAAACAAGACAAGTAATTTCTTTCTTCACTAATAAATGTAGAGAAGAGACAATAAAAAAGGACACTGGTTTAAACTTTTTAGATTTTGTTGTGTTAATATGATCTGGATAATAACTTTCAACACTAAGTTTGCATGTATATGGCGATAAAACTTTCAATGTATCTCCAATGTTATGTCTTTTTTCTTTACTTCAATATTTTGAAGAAAAAAAAAACAAAATGTTCAGTTATATTTTGTATATTTGGTTTCAAACAAGTAACAGTAGATCACTCAGATATATGCTTAAAACACTAAATTCTTGTACATGCCTAAATAAGATTCGTTTGGACACATTTATCTAATTGCTGATAACAAACAATAAACGTTATTTCATAATCATGCAATTTTCGTAATGAGAGCCACTTTTACGTTTGTCTATCTAATCACAGTGTTTCGATTCATTGGTATCAACTGGTGCATAGCGACCTTCAATTTCTAATCTCTACTTTTAACATGTTGTTGAGTCAACCATTTAATGTTCTTACCCTATTTGTTGCTTGAAGTATCATCCAATGTATCATACGCTGTTCTTGATCACAAAACTTTTAGTCACAACATTATTTGATATTGCTTCACTTACGCTGTTATCGACCTCGTGTGTATGTCAGATGAACTAACGAAGATCTGACAAGGGAGTTTGCTTTTTTCTCTTGTTAGTTTGAAACTTCATCTAAATGACCGTGATATTCTGTAGACAGCTAAGTAGATACCGTACGGTAAGCTATGTACTTCTATATCTATAGCTCTTATTATCGACCTATACTCGTATAACACTACCAAACCTTCAAATCACTAAGTAAGAAAAAACTGTGCAGCTCATTATAACATGCCAATATTAAATTTATTGAGACAAAACATTGGATCATTTAAGCAATTCTATCAACATTGATGACTATTAAATTATTATTTTTTTGTATATAGGACCCATTTTGTTATATTATTATAATATGATTTATGAATGATACAGGAAATATTTATCTTGTCGCAGTTATTAATCTTTGAAATAACAAAGAATAATCCGTCATTAACACCCAGTTAGTGTTACTACAAACGAAAATTGTTACAACATAAGGATATTAGCTTTAAAATGGTTTAATTAAAGATAATTGGAATATTTTGGAATAATCTAGAGGAAACGTTTCTTTATCACTTCCCCATTGCACATTTTCTTAACAAGAATATCATTATATAGAGTTCATAAAAGGGCATAATACAGGTTGATGAGTATTACCTAACTAGGCTTTATTGTGTCCGAATTTTCGCGCAAAGCTACAGAAAAGGCTACAAATAAAAGTAGCTAGTCAACAGCACCCACCACCAAGGCTATTACTGTGTGACCGAATAGTGGGATTTGCTCTCACTCTTATAGCACACCTATGACCTGAAAGTGTAGAACGCATTTCTCCGATAACGGGCTGCGGAATTAGAACCCTCAGATTTACAGCACGAAAACGCTAACCTTTTCGCCACGCCCTGCCTATGCATATAAGAGCACCACGCCATTCTTATTATGTACACTTTGCCATTAATGACGCTTCTTAGCAACCTTTTCAACATCACTTTCTCAATGTGTTTAAAGTTGTAACACCTATGTAGTATTTATTTGTTATCGTAGCACTTAAACTAAATAAAACATAGAATGTTGACGAAGCACGATTTTCGACAAAATTATAGAATACGTGAAACAAATTTGAGCAAAACAAAATATAGCAATTGAAGCAACTACCACAAAATTTATATTTGTTCTCATACTAGCGGGTGTAAGTTAATAAGTATATGTTATTTTGATAATCAAACTAACTGATAATGACTGATAAGGGACAGCTTGATCCTTGACTGTGCATTTCAAATAGGAAGGAATAACCTTTTATTGTCAAACTAAAAAAAACGTTTATTGTTTTAAATATTGCTTTTGCCCAATACTCCGCCTAACAGCTTCTCCAGCCAGCGTACTGTCCTGTAAAACAAGTGAACTTCATTGCATCAGACACATGAAACAGTGTTCGTTCAGGTTTGTATTAATACCAAGTAAATCCATTTGAAAGTTAGCACTTTGGTGTATAAGACGAAGTATTGTTTCTTTTATGGCATAGAGTGTATTTTATGATATTCATTAGATAAAATCTTGAAGTATAGGAACTTTGTGTTGGTATATATAAAGTGAACAGTTGTATTGAAGTATAAAATCTTGAAGTATAGGAACTTTGTGTTGGTATATATAAAGTGAACAGTTGTATTGAAGTATAAAATCTTGAAGTATAGGAACTTTGTGTTGGTATATATAAAGTGAACAGTTGTATTGAAGTATAAAATCTTGAAGTATAGGAACTTTGTGTTGGTATATATAAAGTGAACAGTTGTATTGAAGTATAAAATCTTGAAGTATAGGAACTTTGTGTTGGTATATATAAAGTGAACAGTTATATTGCTTAGTTAATTATATCAAAACTTTGCATTTTTATTTTTGAATAGTTATATAAAGTTTCATATTTAGCCTACAGACTAGTTATAAAACTTCAGGTTTGTTTTGCTTGACCCATTATATTCAAACTTCATATTTATGTTACATGGATGTATAAACGCTTCCCACTTTTGTTAATTAATCAGTTGCATAAGAACTTCACATTTATATTACGTGCCACTTTTATATAAACTTTAAATTTGTATTACTTAGCTAGTTATATAAAATCGTCACTTTGTTGGTTTATGGCTAGTCCTATATAAACATCAGGTTTGTGTTACTTATATAGCTCTATAAAACTTCATGTTGGTGTTACATGGCTAATTATATAAAACCTAAAACCTGTTACTTGGCTAGTTATATAAAACTTGAAATCTGTGTTACTTGGATAGTTATATAATATCGTCACATCTTTGTTACTTGGCTAGTTATATATAAGCGTCAGGTTTATGTTACGTGGATAGTTATATAAGATCCTCACGCTTGTGTTACTTGGCTAGTTATATAAAACTTGATGTTTATATTATCTGCTTAGTTATATAAAACTTTTATGCTGCTTCTCTAGATGAATAAAAAGTTACGCTTGAGTTACTTGACTCGTTCTATATAAACGTCAAGGTTATGTTACATGGATAGTGATATAAGATTTAACGTTGGTGTTACATGGCTAGTTACATAAAACCTAAATTCTGTGTTACTTGGCTGGTTAAATAAGATCTTCATATCTGTTTACTTGCCTAGTTCTATACGATTTTCATATCTGTGTCACTTGGCTAGTTATAACAGGTATTCACATTTTTGTTACTTTACTAGTTATATAAAATTTCAAATCTGTGTTTCTTGGCTGTTTATATAAAACTTCACAAATGTGGTGTTATAAGCTCGTTTACTACTGGTATTAAAATGTATTTTATACATGAATATGTATTACAGAACTTAAATAAAGAACTTAACATTGTTGCTTTTCTATCTACACTGAGTGGTCACAAGTAAATAGACACCTAATTTTTCGCCATTTAACTGATTTATGCTAACTAATTTGTGTTCAAAGAGCACTATATAAATGAAAATGGTCCGCACACTAACTATCTTGTGCTACAACATGCCTAGAACTCAAGGTTCTCTCGAATTGTCAGATTTTGTC